CCTTCCCCCTGGAAGCAAACAGCCAGAGCATCACCCCCAGCCAGGCAGCCCATGGCAGGGGGTGTGCCTGTGCACACTGACCCCCCAGCGTTCGACATGCTCACGTTGAGGTGGACACAGAACCCCCACGATGCACCCAAGAGGTGAACTCATCCCGTTACACATCCGAATGGAGGCTCACCCCCCCATAAAGCGGTTGTGGTGCAGGTTTTGCTCCATCCCAGCCTCCTCCCCACACGTACCTGGTGCTCTCCAAGGCCGATTCGGTGTCGATCAGGCCCAGGATGCAGAGTGTGACTGAGATGTTCTTCTTCTGCATGGAGAGCTCGTGGCGCAGCGAGCTGAAGAATCCATCCAGGGCGAACTTGGTGGCAGAGTAAGAAGTGGTGAAGGGAGTGGGGATTTTCCCTGGGAAGGAAAAGGAAAGAATGGAAAACATCGGGAGACTGGCTGGAAGGAGGATGGTACCATGGAGGGGGAACCTGGATCATCCTGCATCATCGACCCATGTTTGGTTTGGGTGAGTTCGCCTCTATTTCTAGTCACAAATAGGCACTGAGGCAATTCCAGCCGGCTGTGGGAGCGCATCCCAGCGCAGGAGCCACCTCCTGGAGAAAGGAAGGAATTGTCTTTTAACTTACCCAGTAACCAGGTCCACGCTGCGCTAAAAAGCTGCTCTGCTGCAGCCTTCCCTCCCCATGACATGCAAACACGTGGACCATGATACCAGGGCACGTCAGGGCACAGGGCAGGGACAAGCCTGAAGCTGTGTATGGTGATGCAGCTCCCTGGAGTGCACACTGAAGCCTTTCTCTTGCTTTTCCATCCCAAACAGGCAGTGCAGCTACTCAGCAGCCTCCTGATGGCCAAAGCCAGAAGGTTTTAGAGTAGGGAGATGATAGAAACACAGGAGGGATGGGCCTGGCTGTGAGGGGCAGGAGCCAAGGAAGCAGATCTGGGCACACGGTGAACAAATAGCAACGTTCCTTTGCCACACAAAGAAGGTCTCCAGAAAACAAGAGCAGCCACTGTCCTGTTTGCTGCTATAAAATGCACAGCTTGAAAAGGGGTTGAGGGGTTGAAGGACACAGGGAAACACGACGTGTTGGGAACCACCATGTCCACAAGAGCAACGGTATGGCAGTTAAAGCCACCAACCTGTGAGGGAAGAAACAACCACCAGAGAGCCTTGATTCTTCTCCAGGGTGGGCAGAGCTGCTGTTGCGAGTGCCACGTAACTGAAGAAATTCACCTGGAATGGAATGGGAAAAGTAGACATGGAAGAAGCAGGAGGGTTTGGAGGGAAGGTCAGCATGAGCCAGAAGCAGCTTCCATCAGTCCCTGGGCTAATGGGAGATAAGAAGGACAGAAGGAAGGAGAGAAATGAAGTTCTTCCCAGACATTTCCCCCCACACACATACAAGACTGGAGCAAATCAGTAACGAAGCCTTGAAACCCCTTGAAACACCAATGAAAGAAAAGGTTTGCTCTCAACCATTGCCACAGGCTTGAATTTGCCTTTGAGCTTCCCAAAGCCATCCCAGGAGAAACCAGACTCACCCAGTTCCAAGTGAGCTCTTCCTGCTGGGAATCCTCACCTGCATGAGCCAGCGGGTGTACTCCACATCTCCATCCCACATCTGGAAACGGGTCATGCCAATGTGGTTCAGCACCAGGTAATCCAGGCCCCCTGTGGACAGGGGAAGCACTCAAAGCAAGGGGCCAGCCCCAACCAGTCCTTTCTCCACACTCTTCTCCTCCAGCATGAAAAGCAGCTAAAAGACAGTTACACCCAGACTGGAACTCCCAAACCCCACACCCCCCAGTCCTGAGCATCCCTCCCAGCAAGGAACATGGGGAAACTGAAGCAGAAAGCTCCTATAGGAATGAGAACTGTCTGTATATTGGAAGCCAAAAGAGATGCCCAGCTGCTTACCCAGCTTTTGGACAGCAAACTGAACCACCTTTTCAGGCTCTAAAGGGTTTGACATATCTGCAGGGATATAAAATATTTTCTTTGCTCCAAGTGTCAGGCACTTCTCCATCACCTTGAAGAAGAAGAACACACAGCCAGAGGTTAAACACCATGGACTGGGAGCGGGGAGAACAGAAGTAAGGACACTCTAAGGCACTGGGGTTTCCCCATCATACACAGTCAGTGACAGTCAATTCTGAACAGAAACACACTTTAACTTTAAATCTAGCTCTATTCAGCCCACTGAGAGCTCATTTGGCATCCAGACTTTGTTTAACCAGACAGTTAACTCTTAGCAGGATGCAGATTCACTCTACTTTGGAAAAGGATCAAGATTCACCTGAAAAAGAGAGTCGTCTTCTGGAGAACTCTGCTGGAATAAGGCTTAGGCTTTACATTAAGTTCTTCTTCTGCCAGAATACCTAGCAAGGCTCTAGCAGTGTTCATCTTTCATAGCTCCTTCGCTGAGGATGTGAGGATGCCCAGTAATGACACACAGTTTAGCTTTTTGCTGAAACACCACCAGTAACTAAGCTGGTTTTGTTCAACAGCAGCTCTGAAGGAGAATCTATCCCACTGACAACTGCTTTGGTGGTGGTGGGGGGGTTTTCTGGTACAAGTGCACACCTCTTTGTCTTCCCCCCCAGCAGGAAGTTCTTACCTTCTGCAGCACAGCTTCCCTCCGAGCAGTCAAAACTATTTCAGCACCAAATCTGGCATAATGATATGCCATCTGCTCTCCAATGCCAGCACTGGCTCCAGTCAGGAGGATACGGGCACCAGACAAGCTCTCTTGTATATGGGAAAGAGAATAAGAGAGAGAGAAGTAAGTGAAGGAAGCAACTATTGGCAGAGCTCTAAAGCAGAAGGGTGTAAGTGGCAAAGTACAGGTCATTCCTCCCCGCCCAGACAGCAGGGTCCCTTAGAAATGCTGTCAGAAGATTTTGTCTTCCTCTTTGTTTCAAGCTTCCCTTTATTTCTGGGAATGAAGCTCCCAGCTCTGGTAAGACTCCGGGCAGGAACGAGACCACCAGTCAGGGTTTCTCTCCTGTGATTTCCATTCCAGTTTGGAATGATCCCCCTTGCTGAGCCTACCTGGCTTAAAGGAATCTTTCCAGAAGACAGCAAGGAACCCAATTACAAACGCTGTAGCACAAAGCACTTTTCCAGCGGGCTTCATATCCCTCCACGTTGTGAAGAGCAAAGTGAAGCCTTGAAGCTGAGGGCTCCAGCCCAAATACTGCAATCTCCTTCCTCTGAGGCTGGAAGCCAACCTGCAAGAGACATGGAAAGACCTTTTGTGTCCTGCTTAGCAGAGAAGAGCTGGGAAGAGTCCACAGGGAGCCACCTTTGTCAGGAATGGAAGACAGTGAGGACAGGGACAATCAGCACTTTGATAAGAAGCTGCAAAGCTGTTGTGTCCCTGTGGAAGGCAGGGAACACCACTCCTGGGAATGGTTCACATGGGCCCAAGAAAGGGCAGAGCTTGGCTGTGCCATGCAGTGCAACTCCCTGCCCAGAGGGAGCAACCCTGGAGAGACTGAAACCTGCTCTTGGACGAGAGGAGGGATCCAAAGAGGACAGGAAGCAGAAGAGCTCCCAAAATCATCTCCTTGATCTTCCTGTCTTGCTCAATGAGTCTTTCCTCAGCTTCCACTTGCTCCAGGACAGCTGCTTGTGCCATTCAATGTGTCTTAAATGAACTGGACTGGGGGAATTACCCTGCAAATCATAGAATCATAGCACGGTTTAGGTTGGAAAGGACCTTAAGGTCATCCAGTTCCAACGCCCTGCATGGGCAAAGACACCACACACTAAACCATGTCTCCCAAGGCAGACTCATAGAACAGTTAGGGTTGGAAAATGCATGTCCCCAGTGCAACACTGCACTTGTGGAGTCAGCACCAGGTCCTCATTTCAACCATGAGCTGACAGTCTAAGTTCACAGTCAAAGCCTTCGCTATTCTGCATTGCTGCATCCAGGTTCTCATAGGCGCATTTGACGTAAAAACACATCCAATCTGAACAGTAAAAGGTAATAAAAAGAAAGTGAAATGAATAAATGATCCTCTCTTGCCCAAAAGAACGTTACCTGCAGCTGCCCCCAAGACTTCACAACAGAGAGCAAATGGAGCTGAGAGATCACACCCAGCTGGGCTCTGCCATGCTTGCATTACCCAGTGGTGGCTGAGGCAGGGGGACAGGTGAGGGATTTCCACCTGGATTTGTCCCACCAAACCTTGAGTCGGGACCAAAACTTCCGGACACCACCAGCATCCCCTTCCTAAGGAGAGCACCATAAACCAGGCTGGCTCTCTGTGAGGGTTGCTGTCTTCACACACCTTTTAGTAGCCAGAATATAGCCAACAGAGGAGGTTTTGCACAGCTCTGGGAGGTGTCTTCTGCAAAACTCACTTGTTCTGCACACAATTAGGGCTGTTTGGGGGGCAGCACGGGAGGATGTGCCCAATGCTTAGTGAGGGAATGGGATTCCAGTCTCACCCAGGGTACACAGATGACCATGGCCTGAGTTCTTTGCAGGAGTGTGGCCTGGAGAAGACAACCAGGGAACGTATAGGGACAAGCGTGATGCTGAATAGCTGAAAGGTTCTAATATAGATCTTGAAGTTAAAAGCAGAACGTGATTTGCTAGCACATGGCTTCTATTTCCATCCATTCTCATTCCTGCCCATCCCCATTTCATGCCCTGTCAGCAGCAGGAGGACGGCAGCACTCCAGCCCATCTCCTGCTCGCTTCACGGCGCACAAAGCACCACACGCGGCCTGCTCCGAACCTGCCTTGGGATTAAGCCTGGAGACCCAGCGCCGACCGCAGCCGCCGCAGCGGGCCGTACCTCGGGGTAACCGGGGCTCCTCACTCCGCAGCACAGCGGACAAGCGGCGGTGCCGATAGGAAGCAGCGGGGCTGAGACAGCGCGAGCCCTGCTCCCGACATGTCGCGACAGAGCACGGCCGCAGCCCCCACCGCCCCCTCAGCCGCTCCCCTCAGCGAGGCCCCGCCCCGTTGCCATGGCACCAAGAGGGGGGGCGGGGCTTCCCGTGCCACGTGACCAGTTCCCACCGCCCCCCCGCCGCCGCCGTCATGGCCGCCAGGCTCGTCCCCGTGCTCAAGTGAGTCCCCGCTCCCCGCGGAGCCCTGGACCGAGGGTTCGCGTCCCCCCCCTTCGCCCCGGGCCCCGCAGCGCCCCGCAGCCGCCGCTCACCGCCCCCGGGGCCTTCCCCCGGGCCTGTGTCCAGGCGCCCGGCTCGGCCTTGTAGCGCCCTTGACCCCGTGCGGCGCCGCGGCCTCCGCCGGCAGCGGCTCCACGTGTGTCCGGTGGGTTCGGCAGCGTTTGGCTGCCGAGGGAGCAGCCGCGGAGCACAGGGACCGGGGGAAGGGGGAGAATGGGAGAGGTGGATGGAAAACGGGGAAATCCCCTTGCCCCAAACACTCGTGAGTGCATGGGTTTGATGTTGGCTCTCTCTTGCCTCTCTCAATGGCTCTGTGTGGTTTATATGTATATATATATGTGCTATAGTAGCCTTCCGGTGCCAAAAGGGGCTGCAGGAAACCTGGAGAGGGGCTTGGGACAAGGGCCTGTAGGGACAGGGCAAGGGCAAGGGGAATGGCTTGAACCTGCCAGAGGGGAGACTGAGATGAGCTCTTAGGCAGAAGCTCTCCCTGGGAGGGTGCTGAGGTGCTGGCACAGGGTGCCCAGAGAAGCTGTGGCTGCCCCATCCCTGGCAGTGTTCAAGGGCAGGTTGGACACAGGGGCTTGGAGCAAGCTGCTCCAGTGGAAGGGGTCCCTGCTCGTGGCAGGGTCTAGGGCTGGAGGAGCTTTAAGGTCCCTTCAACCCAACCCATGTATTCTGTGAAGACAGCAAGAGCCATTGGAATATTGGTGACCCTCAGATTTATCAATAACCTCCCTTTGATGGTCATTGAGAGATGCATTGATAGTTATAACAGGGACTGAACTGTTGCTGATTTGGATTCCTGCAGGTTTGTCATCAAAGGAGGCCTGGCTGGGGGTGCTGTGTATGTGGCGTACGACCAGGGGCTGCTGGGCAGCGGCACACAAGGTGCTGAAGCCTTCAGGAAAGCTCAAGCAGCGCTGCCTCCAGCCATCCAGGAGTGGATAAGTTACACAGGCTGGGAGGTAAGGGCTGTGCAGCCACACAACCACGTCCTCGGAATGAGGGGGAGAGAACACTGGGGTGATATTGCGGTTCTAGTGATGCCGGTGGGAATTTTGCTGTTGAAGCATTGAAAATGTTTTGGTGAGCATTGAAATGGAAGGAGGATGAAACTTGAAATGTAGGGGAGAGACGGGTTTTCAGGAGTCCTGCCTTTTGCCCTGCATTGTAATGGGGGAAGGAGCAGCTTTAAGCCTCATGTCTGATCCCATTTGGGACTCATGAAGAGTAGGCATCCCAGTGTCTTTGAGAGCTGAGGTCAAGGTGATGTGGATCCTGTTATAAGGGAAACCCCTTGAGTGCTGATATTTCCTCTCTCTTCTCTCTTTCTAGCTCCCACCTATTCCAAAACTTGAGTTTTCCCCTTCCGATTCCTGGAATAAAGGTAAAATAACTTCACACCCAACTGTGAAAGGAGCAAGGGCCAGGAGGGTTGTAGCTTATACCAGTCTTGTTTCAATACCGTGCTAAATGGAATGATGGGGAAGGAGGCGATAGATGTTCCAGCCTGGTGGAGTGAGCATTGGGACTAAGGAAGCTCCAGGTTTTGCTACTGACACATTGAGTGACTTTGGACTTGATTTCATATAATTGGGAAGGAGCACCGTCCACAAATACTGTGACATCTCCAACGTCACCCATGGCAGAGCTGGAAGTGCGATGGAAGTTAGCTCAGTCCTTTGGTTCAACTGTCTATCCCTTACACAGGTCCTAAATTGGGATTTCCTTGTGTCCCGAGTGCTACTGAGCAATAAAACCTAACCCAAGAAATCATTCAGGCCTCAGTGTGCTTGAAAGCTTCTGAGCTGGAGCTAGATCTTTCTCTCTGTGTTTAAAGAGATCTCCAATGCTAGAATAACGTTAGGAAATGTGGCTGGAAGGATGCTCTGGGGATAACTGTGCTCTGCTCTCCCTGCAGGAGTACGGATGGTGATGTCTGCCTTGTCCGTGGCTCCCACCAGGGCCTGTGAATACACTGCAGAAGGCTGGAAGTACGTGAAGGACCTTGTCAAATAGCGTCCCCATTCTCCAGGGTTGTGATTCTCTCCGTCCCATGTTGGCTGTGGGATGAGGCCGAGTCCAGCCCTCGGCAGGGCTGCAATAAAAGACTTTGGAATTTCCATTTGTATCTGGGTTGGTTCTGGCCTAGGACTGGGATAATGGTGTTCTCTCACCAGTGGTCATGAAGTGCAGCCCCTGCTCTGAAGCTGCTGAACTGGTGGTGCTGTGCTTCTCCTGAACACCCTCTGATGCAAGCCAAGCCAACAAGAGAGAACAGAATATATGCTGGAGTGCCTCTGCCAGATAGAGCATGTTAGTGAGGTGAAAGCTGCTTCTGTGACTTGTTACACAACTGGGAGTAACCACTGCTAGTTGCAGTACTTCTTGTTGATGAGTGTACTAGAAGGGAGTTGGTAAGTTTGTGATGGGAGATTAGCATTAGCTGTAGTAACCTGAGTGCTGCACCACACCAGGCTTTGCTTCTCAGGCAGGATTAGTGTGCCTCTGATTGCAACAACTTTGCTTTTCTCAGCATAGAGGTTTTGTGCTTCACTTGGTTTCATTTTAAGGACCAGAAGGGTCGGGGCTGGGCTGGAAGTTGTCCTTCCATTGCTCAGCCTCCCACCAGCTGCAGAGTCACTAAGGGCAGTGAGTAAGGTGGGCATTAGCAGTATTACAATCACTTGTTTGGTTCTGATTCCTTTACCAGACATTTAAAACCATCTGAATGATTTTGGCTGAAGGATGACAACTACCTCCAGGGCTGCAGCCTGCAGAAGGGTTTCTTACACTCGGGGAAGTTGCATTTGCTGCCTGGAGAACAATGTCCTGTGCATTTCCAAGTCAGTTTTGCAGCACCAGGTTCAAACTTTGACCACTGCTTCCCTCATGTAATTACGTTTCGGGTACTTAATCTTTGAAAGAAACCCCTGTAGTTTTATACACAATTGACTCAATTCAGGTTCCCAGGACTATTAAAACAATTACCTGTAAACTGGCTTTTATTTATGGAAAATGGAATGCTTCATTAACAAACATTTTAAATGGGATATGAACAACACATTACAAAACAAACGAGTTCACATTGGGTTGTGTGAAATAAGATGGTAGCAGCTTAAAAAAAATGACACTTAAGAGTAGCCCACCAGTTACAATGAATGGTAACCTTGGGGAACAGCCTCATTTCAGTTGCCACCTTGAGTTAAAAACTAAAGACATTCAGTAGCGACGGTTGAAACGAGGGTCGTTGGGTCTGTTTGCTCTCTCCTGGCCGGCAAAGCCTTCCCCCTGCATTCCTCCTCCGTGCATCATCTGACTTTGGTTGCCACCTTGCATGAAACCTCCACGCCTAGAAAGGGATTCAGACACGTTAACTGCAGCGGTGACTCCTGATGTGATGGGGATAGAATGGCTATTGTAATGGTTTGGTGGAATTGGTGATACCAGGTTGAGAGAATGGCTGTTCTCTCACAGCTCTTGGTGTGATCTTTCACTCTTCAGCAACATTAAAACCATGGGAGCATTTCACCAGTCCTTGACATTTAAAGAAATCAGGTAACTTGATGCTCACCCAATTTAAGTAGAAGAGTTGCCCCTTCAAAGGAAAACCCTCTGTTCTCTCTGAAGTCCTTACCCTGACATGCCTCCACGATGGATCACATGGCCAGGTCTGCCTCTACCTCCACCTGAAAAAGTTCCAATGCTTCCTTTAACTCCACAGCAGTAAGTTTTCCTTCATCCCCATGGATAGCAGTGCCTGTCTTTCCTTCTTTACACAGCACAACTGCAGCTCACCTTGCCATCGCTCATGATCTCGCCCCATCATCCCTCCATCCACACTGCTCTGCCACGAACGATCTTGATGTCCTTCAAACTTGCGGCCGTGATCTCCCCAGTCCCGTCCATCCCTGTGGGAGAGTGGAATTCATCCTCCTCATGTGAGCCAGAGCACACACAGTGTTTGACTTTTAAAGGGAAAGCAGCAAAATCCCAACTGATCCTCAGTTCAATGCACTGACCGTGACTGCGGGGGCATCCCTCTGCTTTCACTCATCCTTCTGTCGGATCCGTAACTACCCCAGCTTTCCCGGGAATCTCGTGAGTGGCGGTCTGGTCCTCCATGGCGCTCATCTGGATAGTGCTGAAAGACAAAGATCATTTACAGGGTTGCCCAAACCAGGCTCTTCAGTTGTTTCAAGTTGCTCAGCTGTCATTGTTCCATCCCAGAATTACTTAGGATGGAGACCATCTAGTCCAACCTCCCCACTCCCAGCAGGATCAGCCAGGGAAGGCCATCCTCAACAGTCTCCCATCAAGTTTTGAGTATCTTAACAGCTTCCCCATGCAAGTCACCGTGTGACCACCTCCATAGTTTAGTCATTGAACTAAATTTCATCTTACTAAAGACAACAAGACAATCTGGTTGTCAAGAAGATACTTAATTCTAAACTACTGTTCTGTCTGACACACACTACAGAAACCCAGGCTGTAAGAAGTGAAGAGGTTTCTGTAGCTTTGTAAGGCAACTCACTTGTCCATCCCGATCTCCCATCATTGTCCTGGATCCGTCTCTCCTACAACAGACAATCACAATCAGACTGTGGTAGTAAACATCCAGCAGCCTCTAAAAATCCATCTATGTAACAACACAGGTGAAAGATCCTGCTTCCATGGAGTGCCAACATCATCTACAAAAGGCACAAAGAGCTGGAAGTTATGGAGACCATGTCACGTTTTGGATTCCTGAAGAACCCAAGGTATAAACCCAAATGCCACGTGCCTGCAATATTATTTAGGATTCTCTGCAAGCAGAACACTTGGAGCCAGCCTGCCAGAAGGCTTAATTCATGGCACAGGACAGAGCTCTTCATGGGGATGTAAGAAGTCTGCAGCCACTAAGCCACGCTTACAAACTGAAATGCAACCCAAACACACAAGTGAAGACAGGAAAATGTACCATTAAATCTATTTTTCTCTTCCAGGGAACACCGTGGAGGGCAGACACCTACCTGTCTATTGAATGGTCTTGGTACCGGCCACGATCCCTGTGGTCGAAGTCGTGGAAGCGATCCTGGCGGCTGAAGTCTGAGTGGTACCTGTCATTCATTGCCATTCGTTTTGCCTCTGGCCAGTACGGATCATCTCTCCTGAAAGAAGGAACATGCTCACTTTAGAAGAAGTAATCACTTTTGATACTGTTTCTCCCATTCCAAGACAGAAGAGAGTTCGAGCAGATAGTCCGACTGAGGCTATTAAACATGCTCATGTCCATGCCATCACCAAGCTGCTGACAGATGGAAGCTGAGAGCACGTGGAGAACTTTTTATAGCACGGGCAGATGAGCCAGAACCTGGCAGCGTTTTCCACTCACAGCATTTCTCTTGCTGGCTTTACCTGCCATCGATGTCATACGGTCTCCTCATGGCAGAGCGACGCTCCTGCTCATAGCGCAGCTGCTCGTGCTGGCGCCGCAGTTCTTCTCTTTCCCTCTGGATGCGATCCTGTTCCCTCCTCCTCTCATGCTCTATGTGCATTCGTTCCCTTTCCAGTCTTTCTCTTTCCATCCGTTCCCTTTCGAGACGCTGCCGTTCAATTTCCAGCCTCTCCCGAGCGATCTCCAGCCTTTCTCTTTCCTCTCGTTCCCGGATAGTCTGCAGGTGCTGCTGCCTCTCCCGGCGCTCCCGAGTGCTGTTTGAACACACACAGAAGGTCACAGATCTGATACTTCCACAAGAAAGGAGGTTAGAATGGAAGAAGAAAAGGAAAAAAGCCAGGGAAGGGAAGCACCCGAGGCATTTCCCTGCTCTTACCGGCGCTGCTCTGCCTCCCTCATCTTCCTCTGGGCTTTGATTTTGTCAAATGGCACAATCCCTTGTCTCTCCCTGCTCTCCGATTTGCGATCCTGGCTCTTGATGCTCTGGATTTGATATTGAAGGAGAGAAACTCAATGGAGTACATTTACAAAAGGACAACTATCCCAAGCAATAATGAGCTCCATTTCCACTCATCCAGATCCAGGTCCCCTCACTTTCCAAACAGGTTATTCTTTTAGTGTTACAGACACACCATAACAGTGCTACTGCCCATATGTGTTTGGGGGGGTTTCAGTGCTGAATGGTATCAGTTCTACAAAAGGTATTTTACTAATTAGCATCTAAATCCACATTTTAGTAACTCCAACTGGACAAACCAGTAAGACCACTGCGGGTTCCATGTCACTTGGCAGGATTCAGTGCTTGTTTCTAAGGGAGACTGTCAACCTTTCCCATGCAGAAACATGACTTACTCGGTCTTTTGATGTAGTTGATGTTTTCACACTAATAACAGGTTCTCCTTTGGATTTATCCATTACTACTGTTCTCTCTGTTCCTTTACTTCCTAAATCCATCAGAGGTTGAGGGGAAAGACATGGAAAAGAACAATGAAACTACATAACTAACCCTACTCATTGCTATGCCAAACACTGTGCTCTCTAGAATGCCAAGACAGGCATTTAACCCTCTCTTCAAAAACCATTCTCCACTACACCTATTCCAGTGCTTCTGTTGAGCACAACACAATGTCAAACTCCCTCCCCTCCACCTCTTTATACCTTCTGGATTTCCCATTAGGAACCAGAACTAATTCCAGACCATTGGCAGTCCTTCGGAAAGAACCACCTACAATTAATTACTCATTTTTTCACCCTATCTTCTACTCTATGAAAAACAGAATAGCCAAATTACCTGACTTAATAGTTTTAGGTTGATCTGATGAACCTGGCTTCAGTTCCTCTTTCTCTTTTTTTTCCTTTTCATCTTTGTCTTCTGTCTTTTTAGGATCATCTTTTTGGTCAGATTTCTCATCCTTTTTAACACTGCCAGGTCTATAGAGAGATACTGGTATAGATTAGACTAATACAGAGGCAGAACTGAAAGGAGAATCCTAGCAATAGCAAAACAAAGCAGCAAACACCTTTGGACAGAGGATTTCCAGAACAGTACCTCTCAGTGGCTGTTTCTTTCTTTGTTTCATTCTCTTTTTTATCGCTTAGCTTCTTCCCAGCAGGTTCACTTTTGGCCTGAAATGTATTTTGCACATCATCAGCTGAGAATGTGGCCTCGATCACTCGTACAATGCG